AAATTTAAAATCTTCAGTATATACAAATTTACAACTTATCTAACTCTTTATTTCTCTTATTTATACTCTTTGGTCTTATTTTTATTGAAATTATATTAGCTCTTACTAATATTATACTATCTAACAAAACTGCTATTAGGGCTCTGACAAACCTGAACCAAATTTTAGATATGGTTTGGGTTTGGTTTAAATTTAAATTAAATTTGAACTCAAACTATTTTTATAGCTAAATTTGTTTCGAATTTAAATATCAACCTTCTGGCTTGGTTTGGGCTTAATTTGAGTTCAATTCAAAAATTTGCAAACATATTTGAAAGTTCTGATCTAATTATAGTTAAATCTTACTTTATTTCATAATTTATAAATAACATGTGCCAATTCCAAATTAATCTAAATTGCATAATAACACAAAACAAATAGAATACAAAATCTGTATTTTTTTCTAAAATAATATAAAATTTTATATGAAACTAAAAAAATATTTCTCAAAAAAAAAGTATAGTTTAGGTTGTATATGCTGTAAAGTTTAAATATTAAATAGGGTGTATTAATATAATTTTGGGCTAGTTGATTAGCCTAATTGTTAAATATATTATTTTAATAAGTATTAACTTTATAAAAGAATATTTGTAAATTATATAAGTTAATAAAATTAATTAAAGTATACTATAATAAATAATATAGTATATGTATAAAGAATAAAGCAAAAAAAGTTTGATTAATATTGTTATATTTAGATATCACAAATTGTAAATCTGTATAAATATAAATTATACAATTTCTAGATACTATAATAAGTGCAAATACAGTAAAATAGCAATAAGTTTAGTCTTAAAGAAGTATAGACAAAATTTGATTTGTATATAAATAAGTACAAAATATTGTTAGATTAGATTTGTATCTATCCAATCCTCATAGAATATTAGAAAGATTTAAGTTTTAGAGAATTGCTATTTGCACCATGAGTTTGCTATTTGCACCATTAATTTGACTAAAATTATACCCTAACTCTAACTAATTCTGGTTAAACTAATAGTGCAAATAGCAAAAATCATAGTGTAAATAGCAGTATCTAAGTTTTATAACAGAACTATCTGTATAGAAAAAAGTTTAAAATGATTATAAATATAATAAATAATTGCTTAAACAGTATCTGTTAGAGTATTAACTTGACAGATATCTAGAATTTGTATTATCATAGGTTAATAAGTAATTTCATCACAAAATAATCTAGAACAAATAGCAAGCACTTAATCACTTTGCTATAACCAATTTTCAGTTTATATTAAGGCAAGTATTTTGTTTACTACTCAAATGAACTTTATTAATTAATTAAGAGAGACAGATTCTAACTAACTAACTTTTTTACTATTTGTTTCGATTATATATATACTTAAAGTTATATTACTTATATCATAATTTGCTTATATGATCATATGATTATTTAACTCTTATATTGCTATATAAATTTATCTCATATTTTATACATACTTAATGATCTTACTTCAGTATAATACCAACAGTTACATAATTGATTGTTATCTGATTTTTAATTTCTAATCTATTATTTACTTATTATATACATCATATGCACAAGATAATGATTGCTCGCTTTACCTTTATTTCTATACAAGTTTACTGTATACTGTATATCACTATGATACAAGCTAGAGCCCCAAAAACTTCATTTCTGAAGTTTCTAGTATAAGCATGGCTTACTTCTCAACAATCTCTACAAAACTAATCTCTATATTCTCATAATTCTCTACAAGTTCTTCAGCAAGCCTATTATATAATTGAATATTCTTCTAATTTAGATTTCAAATAAATGTTTACCTTTCCTTCGCTCTTTCATTTTCTTTAAGCTCATCATATTGCCTTTAAATGATTTATTAACACTCATTTTACTTTTACTATTCCTATGATCATTTTCTATATACTTTGTAACTCCATCATCAATACTATCATTTTTCACTTCTATTTCTTTTTCTTTCACTCTGTTATATCCCAACTTATCTACTGCATTTCTCATGCCCATCATGCCTTTATTATTTCTTCATATCGGCTGATTTGATTTTTGGGCTTTTTTTCAATAAACTGTTAAATGAAAATTTGCTTCTAAGTGATGTTAAAAAAAAAACAAATGAAGTACTTATTATAACTAACAAAAGAGCTTTTTTAAC